TACATGATAAGCCGGGGTGTATAAATTTTAAGTAAATTAGCGTCCTTAAATTTCGAAATATTGAAATTTCAAGCATTTCTGAAATTTACCGTTATATGAAAAGCAGCCGTAATTTTAATCCGATTTCAACAATAGGTTCTTTCCCTAACAATCCGGACCGGATCCGGTTATAAGAGAATTAGCGAAAAGTTTGCTCTCAAAAATAGAACATAATCCAGAAGTACGGGAACGCAAAAAACCACATTTCGTGCCAAAAATTTGTGAAACAGCTAGTGATGTGCTGAATTTTCGGTACCCAATACTCGATACCCAATAATTAGAAAAGATTTCGGTACCCAATACTTCCTTCTCGGTACCCGATACCGATTCTTTACAATAAACCTTCGCCATTATATGCGCACAAGGGTATTATAATTTTGTTCACATAGCGGTTGTTTGTAACAGCCAAAACGAATCGAGATAGATATAGACAAATGTATACAAAAACACTCAGAATGAAAAGAGAAGTCGGTTAAGCCATGTCTGTCTGTCCGTCTGTCAGTCCGTCCGTGTACACGATAACTCGAGTAAAAATTCAGATATCTCAACGAAATTTGGTATGTAGGTTTCCCTTTATCCAAGGAAAAAATNTAACAGCCAAAACGAATCGAGATAGATATAGACAAATGTATACAAAAACACTCAGAATGAAAAGAGAAGTCGGTTAAGCCATGTCTGTCTGTCCGTCTGTCAGTCCGTCCGTGTACACGATAACTCGAGTAAAAATTCAGATATCTCAACGAAATTTGGTATGTAGGTTTCCCTTTATCCAAGGAAAAAATGAAATGGGAGAAATCGGACTGTAACCACGCCCACTTCCCATATAACGGTATTTTCGAAAGTTGCAAAGACTACGATGTTTCAGTAAATATTGGATCCAAATTGTTGAAAATTAGTATGTGAATCAGAATTTTGGTAAAAAATAGTATTGTTAAGAAATTTTTGGAAAATGAGCGTGACCACGCCCACTTATGATGAAATGCTGTATCTCAGTAGCCGCTTGACCAATCCGTACCAAACTCGGTGCGAGCCTTGCCTAGGGCCTAGCTAAGAAATCTGTTGGAAATCTTTGAAATCGGGCAATAGCCACACCCACCTCCCATAAAACGGTAATTTACAGAAACACGAAAACTGCGATAAATGAGTAACTACTAAAGCCAATTGACTCAAATCACAAATGTGCATCCCGGTAACCGATTCATCAATTTCTACCAAACTCGGTGCACTCAATAATCTTAGCACAAGAAATAAATTCATTGAAAATTATACAAATCGAACTAAAATTACAGCCACTTGCCGTATAACGGTAAATTTCAGACATCCGAAAACTCCGATATCTCAATAACTGATGACGCTAATTTACTCCAAGTTAATAGTTACAACAATCTCCTAACAATTAATAATAATCATGATTCAACAACTACAGGTTGTAGCAATCGTACAAAAACAACATTTACCGTTGGTATGAACTCCTTGTGTCATCACCATCTTTTTTATCTATTCATATTCGTGTGTATATGTATACCCTGCATACCAGGATTTCATAGAATTCTGAAAGGTTTCACAATTTTTTTAAGAATTTTCTTTAAGAAATCGTACAGAAATTTCTTTACTAGTTCTTGTCAACCGCCTCATATGTTTTTCTTTACAGATTTCTAAAAGAATCGTAACAAATTTCCGACACTCTTAAAGATTTCGGGAGCATTTGTTTGCAGGGTATATATATACGTATATGTGTATGTGTACGCGGATATGTAAATATAGCAAAACAGACGATAATTTGACACAAGCGTGCTCATAAGAAGAAGCATAGCTTCTATCGCTATCACCTGTAATTGATGCGCCTTGATAAGACTGCTATAGACTTTTAGGAATTGGGCGTGGCGCCGCCACTTTATGACTACAAGGTGTATCTCGGTAACCACTTTATAGATTTCTACCAAACTTGGTTAAATTATTTCATTAAGTCTAAGTCAGCACATTATCGAAAAAGTTTCAAATCGGGAAACCCCCCTGCTTATCATGCAAATGTATTTTAGAGAAAGTTGAAACGACGATATTCGATACCTGCGCCGGGTATATAAAGTAAGTTCGGTTTCTTCCGAACTTATACTTTTTACTTGTTATATATGAAATTTTACATTGTTTTGTTTTTTATAATTAGAAAATATCCGAAAAACCAGAATTAAAATTTGTGTCGTTTTTTTATATTTTCGGGCTAGTTTTGGGCAAATGAGCGTAAATACGAAATTTATGGCCAAGAGGGAACCATATATACTCTATACCCACGGGATCAATTCTGGAATTTCCAGAGTCTAGGTGAGATACTGTGATGAGCTGGGGGCACAATAGACCTACTGGTCGCACTGCTTAGGGCTGCCAGACGCGGTTTTCTCGGATATGTCCCGGTTTTAGCGTATTTGTCCCGGTGTCCCGGTCCAACCTTAAAATGTCCCAGGCTTCGTTTAAGTGTCCAGATTTTAATTGTAGAAATTTGAATAAAAGTTCAAAAATCACCACCAGTGTCATTTGTGAAATAGTTACATCTCCAGATAGTTGAACTTTGCACAAGCAATATTTGATGATCGATATACCCACATACATACCTTTAAGTGCAAAGTGCCCTTTCTAATTAGCATCAGCTGTTTTTGATTTGTTTTGCTTGTTTGTGTTTCGTGCGTGCTTTGATTCCAATGTAAGTTTTCGCGACAAATTTATAGAATATACTATATGTAAAGTCATTCGTAACAACCAAGAATATTATGGTTTTATTTAGAGTATTCAGCATATTTCATTTATTTAGTTTGTATGGAAGAAACTGTCAGCAAAAAAATTATCCAAAATGAACTAAAATTTACTTTCACAATTTTTATGAAAAGTGTGATTAGAAAGTTGCAATTTAAATGCAAATTTGTTGAAATTTTCTGGGTTTTGCACAAAGTTTAGAAATTTTATTTTTATGTTTTCTTTGACGTAGCATAAACTGTATTTAAAAAAAAAAAATTAAAAAAAAATTTCCATATATTGTGAAAAATTCTCTGCCAATAATTTAATTTTGGGCGGCACTGTATGCTTATTTTTATTATTTAGTTGTGATAAGTTGTTTTTGTTTTGTAGGTGTACGTTGAAATGCTGGCAGCCCTACCAGTGCTTCATTCAACTATCTATGTATCTATCCAAATACGAAATGCTATCACAAAAGTGAATAAACTGCCCAAAACCACGGGAACGCAAAAATCCCAATTTTCTTGCCCAAAAGTAAGAACCAGTCACCGACGTAAAACCGTAGACCGTGTCAGCTGACACGACCTAACTTATGGGATTGTCGTGTTAATGAAAACTCACCACTGCATAACGGTGACTTTGTCGTTGCTTCTCTCTCTCCATCAACAGCAATTTCATCTGTTGATACGTACGGCAGGTAGGGAGGGTCTCTTAATGTCAAATCGCACAAAATTATAAATTTAAAGCAGTGACCCAACCGGTTATGACGTTTAAAATAAAAGTTTCGTGAAAAAAGTTAGTTTGTGACTTTTATTTTTTCAGTCAAACAATAACGGTTAAAATGTGACTTATTTTTTCCGACAAAAATAAAAGGCTTAGCTTAATAACAAAAAAGGCTTAATTCCAAACAAAGTAAAGTTGGTACCAATCGATTCGTCTTGGCTTCTAGATTTCAAAAATATATATATTGATATTGGGGTTCTAACTCAGCAAACGAGACCAAAACTAGCTGCCGTTTGATACCCGGGATAGCAACATATTAAATGCCAATTCTTCATGAAAATCCGTGGAGTATTTCTTTGAATGTTTTCTATGTAGCTAAATATAATCAGGAAGTGATTTAATAATTTTAGTTCTAGAGAAGTCAGCACTATACTGGTTATTTAAAATCACTTAAACCACATAGGCAATGTTGCCAGATTTTGGGCGAGCCCTTTTTGTCCATGCAGTTGTATATATTTTTCCCGTTTTTCGTTTTAGGTTTTCCCGTTTTTCCCCCTTTTTATATAACCCAGTTTTTAAAAATGAGAAATCAATTATTCTCCTTGTTTTATTTTTTACGATCAACAACCGTATAACTCAGTCTATAACAATAACAATTCAATTTACGTATAATATTCTTAATATAAAAATATTACCTTAAAACATATATTGCATCTACTTATGCGTTATTTTATTTGTACATATCTTTCGTGTGCAACTGTGATGCTATTTTTGAATCACTGAACACCGTTTTACACAGCACTGTAGTGCGTTTCTGTAACTAATGCGATATTATATCGCAAATTTTGTCAGAACGCGGTACCGCAAAGTTCATATCGCAAACGATAAACGAAGTGGTTCTGTAACTCAAAAAACTCGCCATGCGAAAAATTGGTGGTGAGTATTGTAAAAATTACACGAATTGTCAGAATGAAGAACATAACAGAACAGAAATAGTGTAACATGAAAAGTATAGTTTTGAGAAAAACGACTTGGAAGTTTTTATAAACCATTACAAACCATACAAATACAATTTCGTTCTTCGGGAATAAATTAGTGAGCCAAAGAGATATTTAAGAAAACTAAAAATTTTTCTAATAGATTAAAGGATTGTCTATTCAATGGTGCAATTATCGAATAATAGTGTATGTGGCATTTACACTGTTTCTTTAATCGAGCGACGATATGTTCTTGTATAGTTGTGAGAAATTGAAGTAAAAGTAATAATTTTTATATATTTTGATTATTTAAATCATTTAACCGATTAATGTAAGTACAAAAACTAAATGAATATGCATTTTTCGTTGATTCAATCGTTTTTTTTTCACTATTAAAATATAGAATGATGGTTGCACATCTACTTGCATTGACTGATGATCAAAGGAACATGCTGCGCGTTCATAGGCGATTTTTAAGGGATAATACTGATCCATTTTATTTGCCAGAAGCGCGTTTCATTGAGTTAAGTATTTAGATTGAATAAGGAGTCTGCGCTGGAACTTCTTGGTGAAATAAGTCCGTATATGAAGGATGGTATACGAATAACTTTTGTACCAAAGGCTATAGGGATGGTATCGGCATTGCATTATTATGCTACTGGATCCTTTTTAAGAGATATCGGGCAAAATTTGGTGTGTCCAATAAGTAAAACTACGATTTGCAGATCTATTAATGAAGTGACTCTTATTATTCAAAATAAGATAATGATGAAATACATTAAATTTCCAACTAGTTTGGAAATGAAAAATAGAATTCGACAAAGGTAATAATACATATCGTTACCTTAATTCACAAAGGCGCTAACCAAAACTTTTTTTTCGAAACTGCGTTTTTTCACAGATTTTGGAAGTATATATTAAAATATACCTTCAATAAAAATTTTAAAGTGTTAGTCCCAAAAAAATGGAGTTAAATGCCACTTTTTAAAAAGGTCTTTTATGTTGTTTTTGCATCTGCTGTAAAATAAAAAAATTGTTGGTTCGGGCCTTTGTGAATTAATGCACATTAGAGTGGTCCAAAAAAATAACGTCGGAATTTGATTGCCGGCACCCCCTAGGATTGTTCTACATCTAAAAAAATTTACACCTATTTTTTATTTTGAAATCAAAACATATTTAGGCAGTACTCAAACTTCTCAAAGTTTTCCATGTATTTTATATGGAGAAAAACAATTTTTCGCAGAAATGGAATAAAACTCTTGAAAATCAATATTTTTCGATCGGAAGACTGTGGTTCTCTTAAGGAGACTTCCAGTACCAATATCCAATTGTTTATTTAACCATTTTGTATGATAAAATATTTGAATTTTCTAGGGGTTTTGGAGGACCTATAAAATATAGTTACCATGAAAAAATGGTTAAAGAAGCAATTGCGTATTATTACTGGGAATCTCCTGAAGATAAGCAGTGTTTTTCGATCGAAAAATATTGATTTTCAAGAATTCTACACTATTTCTATGAAAAGTTGTTTTTCCCCATATAAAATACATGAAAAACTTTGAGCGCGTTGAGCACTCCCTAATTTTTTTTATTTCAAAATAAAAAATAGGGGCATATTTTTTCGGTATATAACAATCCTAGGGGGTGGCGGCATTAAAAATCCGACCTTATTTTTTTATAAACATTTTTGGACCACTTTAATGTACATACATAAGTTTTCAGAGTATTTTTATTCATAACAAGCAAACATTTATTTTTATGACCTTAGTCTGATAATTAAAATTTATAGACTAGGTATGAGGAGCTATGGCTGCTTTGGCCTTAAGCTCAACAAACAAACATATTTTAGGTTTTTCAATGCTACTGGTTTTCCGGGCGTGATAGGTGCAATAGATTGCACACATGTTAAAATAAAAAAACCATCTGCGGAGGATGAGTATTGCTATATTAATCGCAAAGGCTTCTTTTCAAAAAATGTGCAGCTGATTTGTGACTACGATTTAAATATTTTAGCTGGGTATGCACGTTTCGGGGGAAGTACACACGATGCATTTATTTGGGAAAATTGTAAAGTTAGGCAATTAATGCAGCAACAATATGAGCAGAACATATACACGTGCTGGCTTATTGGCGATTCCGGATACCCCCTTCAGCCTTGGTTAATGACACCTTACCGAAATCCTGAAACTAGGGGCGAAGAAAATTTCAATAATCACCACATACAAGCTCGTAACTGCATTGAGCGATTGAATGGTGTATTAAAAAAAGTATTCGCGTGTTTGTCAAGTGATCGCGGCATTCTTTTCAACCCAGTTTATTCTCTTGGTGAAATAAGTCCGTATATGAAGGATGGTATACGAATAACTTTTGTACCAAAGGCTATAGGGATGGTATCGGCATTGCATTATTATGCTACTGGATCCTTTTTAAGAGATATCGGGCAAAATTTGGTGTGTCCAATAAGTAAAACTACGATTTGCAGATCTATTAATGAAGTGACTCTTATTATTCAAAATAAGATAATGATGAAATACATTAAATTTCCAACTAGTTTGGAAATGAAAAATAGAATTCGACAAAGGTAATAATACATATCGTTACCTTAATTCACAAAGGCGCTAACCAAAACTTTTTTTTCGAAACTGCGTTTTTTCACAGATTTTGGAAGTATATATTAAAATATACCTTCAATAAAAATTTTAAAGTGTTAGTCCCAAAAAAATGGAGTTAAATGCCACTTTTTAAAAAGGTCTTTTATGTTGTTTTTGCATCTGCTGTAAAATAAAAAAATTGTTGGTTCGGGCCTTTGTGAATTAATGCACATTAGAGTGGTCCAAAAAAATAACGTCGGAATTTGATTGCCGGCACCCCCTAGGATTGTTCTACATCTAAAAAAATTTACACCTATTTTTTATTTTGAAATCAAAACATATTTAGGCAGTACTCAAACTTCTCAAAGTTTTCCATGTATTTTATATGGAGAAAAACAATTTTTCGCAGAAATGGAATAAAACTCTTGAAAATCAATATTTTTCGATCGGAAGACTGTGGTTCTCTTAAGGAGACTTCCAGTACCAATATCCAATTGTTTATTTAACCATTTTGTATGATAAAATATTTGAATTTTCTAGGGGTTTTGGAGGACCTATAAAATATAGTTACCATGAAAAAATGGTTAAAGAAGCAATTGCGTATTATTACTGGGAATCTCCTGAAGATAAGCAGTGTTTTTCGATCGAAAAATATTGATTTTCAAGAATTCTACACTATTTCTATGAAAAGTTGTTTTTCCCCATATAAAATACATGAAAAACTTTGAGCGCGTTGAGCACTCCCTAATTTTTTTTATTTCAAAATAAAAAATAGGGGCATATTTTTTCGGTATATAACAATCCTAGGGGGTGGCGGCATTAAAAATCCGACCTTATTTTTTTATAAACATTTTTGGACCACTTTAATGTACATACATAAGTTTTCAGAGTATTTTTATTCATAACAAGCAAACATTTATTTTTATGACCTTAGTCTGATAATTAAAATTTATAGACTAGGTATGAGGAGCTATGGCTGCTTTGGCCTTAAGCTCAACAAACAAACATATTTTAGGTTTTTCAATGCTACTGGTTTTCCGGGCGTGATAGGTGCAATAGATTGCACACATGTTAAAATAAAAAAACCATCTGCGGAGGATGAGTATTGCTATATTAATCGCAAAGGCTTCTTTTCAAAAAATGTGCAGCTGATTTGTGACTACGATTTAAATATTTTATCTGGGTATGCACGTTTCGGGGGAAGTACACACGATGCATTTATTTGGGAAAATTGTAAAG